TCAAATTTTAAAACCAACCATAAAATCAGGACAGTCCGGCTAACTGAAAAAAATAGGTTTTTAGGGCCCAAGGAAAAGTCCGGAGATCGGAGATCACTCGTATCTCGGGGGGAGATTGTTCCAAAGGGTAGGTGCCACCACGGAGAAGGCTCTCCCCCTGGGGGTCGCCAGCCGACATTGTCTGGCCGATGGCACCCTGAGGAGGCCCTCTCTGTGGGAGCGAACTGGCCGGCGGGAGGCAATTGGTGGCAGAAGGCAGTTCTGTAAGTACCCCAGCCCTAAGCCATGGAGTGCTTTAAAGGTGATCACCAACACCTTGAAGCACACCCATAAGTCCACCGGAAGCCAATGCAGCTCGCGCAGGAGAGGAGTCACATTGGAGCGCCCCGTCGCTCCCATAATCCCCCACGCGGCCACATTCTGCACCAGTTGGAGCCTCCGGGTATACCCCAAGGGGAGATCCATGTAGAGAGCGTTACAATAGTCCAGGCGAGAAGTGACGAGTGCTTGAGTGACCGTGCGTAGGGAGTCCCGATCCAGAAAGGGGCGCAACTGGAGTATCAGGTGAACCTGATAAAAAGCCCCCCTGGCCACGGCCGTCATATGCTCTTCTAAAGACAGCCGTGCGTCCAGGAGGACACCCAAGTTGCGGGCCCTTTCTGTGGGGGCCAATGATTCGCCCCCAATAACCAGCGATGGCGTCAGCTGGCTAAACCGGGACGCCACAGCCACAGCCACTCGGTCTTGGAAGGGTTGAGTCAAAGCCTGTTTCTCCCCATCCAGACCCGCACGGCCTCCAGACACTGGGACATCACTTCCAAGGCATTGTTGGGATGGTCTGGGGTGGAGATGTACAGCTGAGTATCATCAGCGTACTGATGGAACTCCACCCCAAAACCACGGATGATCTCACCCAGCGGCTTCACATAAATGTTGAACAGGAGTGGCGAGAGGACCGACCCTTGTGGCACCTCACAAACAAGGCCCCTTGGGGTCGACCGCTGCCCCCCTATCAACACAGATTGCGACCGGTCGGAGAGATAGGAGGAGAACCACCGCAAAACGGTGCCCCCCACTCCCAGTCCCTCCAGCCGGTGCAACATGATACCATGGTCGATGGTATCAAAAGCCGCTGAGAGATCTAACAGGACCAGGATAGAGGAATAACCCCTATCCCGAGCCCTCCAGAGATCATCCACCAATGCGACCAATGCTGTTTCCGTGCTGTACCCAGGTCTGAAGCCTGACTGGCACGGGTCTAGATAGACGGTTTCATCCAGGTACTGGGGAAGCTGTCGCGCCACCACACTCTCAACAACCTTCACAATAAAATGAAGGTTGGAGACTGGACGATAGTTAGCCAAAACAGCCCGATCCAGGGATGGCTTCTTGAGGAGAGGCCTCACCACCGCCTCTTTCAAGGCGGCCGGCAGGACACCCTCACTCGAAGAAGCGTTGATAATCCCCTGGAGCCAGCCTCATGTAACCTCCCGGGAAGCCAGCAATAACCACGAGGGACACGGGTCCAATAAACATGTCACGTTCAGCCGTCCCAAGATCCTGTCCACGTCCTCGGGAGCCACAGGATCGAACTCCTCCCAGATAACACTCTCAAGGCCTGCCTCAGTCATCTCGTCTGAACTAACGCAGTCAGCGGCCAAGTCTTCCCGAATCTGAGTTATTGCCGGAGCAGGACTCCAGGAACTGTTTGTGCGTAGGTCGAGTTTCGTAAAGATACGACCGGTGGCTAGGGCAGCTAACAGGTCCTTCATTAAGGGAAGTGGATAGAGGGGCTCCACACACACTGCATTGAGACCTCTGAAGTCAACGCATAAGCGTAAACCCCCGTCTTTCTTCCCACGAAACAGGACAGGGGCAGCCATCTCTGATCGACTAGGTGTGATAAAACCCTGTCGAGTCCTGCCAGAGCTCGCCATCGATGGGGTGTGTGGGAGACGAAGGAGTGGAGATAAGCAGCCGCAGAGAACACACAAACAGTTCCTGGATAGCAGCATTCAGGGCAATGATTGATGACGTTGCTGGGCCTCTCCGATTCTGCTGTCCTCGCTGCTCGCAGCTGTTACTGTTAAGGGAGTGGGGGGTGCTTGATTGATAATCACCGGATGTATGTTTAAGGGGCTGAGTTTTTGTTAAATAGCGCTGTGGTGTGATTACACCCAGCGCTGACTTTGAACCAAAACACCGACTTGTACTTTACTTTTGACTGCAAGCTTATCATTGCCAAAGTAAACCCTGATTCTCTGTGTGTTACTGGTGATTATTTCCTATCGCAGTTCTGAACGAACGACAAGCCGAGAGTTATTTTATCATACAGATACTGTACAAAATCCTCAGCTCGGCCCTGCAAGGGGTCATCCCACGCTCCCAGATGGAGAAGGGAGCGGGTCACCCTGAACAGGGTGGCTGGGTGGTTATCTGATGATGCGATAAGAGCGGCAAAATAGCTAGATTTCGCTGCTTTTATTGCCACTAGGTAGGTCTTAATATGAGACCTTACTAGTGTCAAGTCAGATTCGGAACGACTGGCCCGCCAACTGCTCTCTAGGCGTCTTTTCTGGCGCTTCATCTCTCTCAGCTCCTCGGAGAACCAAGGAGCTAAGTGAGTTTGGTGCCGGGTCAGAGGCCACAAAGGCACGACCCGGTCCAAAGCCCTGGCAGCCGCGCTATCCCAGGCAGCCACCAGGTCTTCAGCCGAGTCATGAGCTAGAGTCTCAGGAAATGGCCCAAACTCCATCTGGAACCTATCAGGATCCATCAGGCGCCTGGGGCGGAACCACCTGGTCGGCTCCGCCTCCCTGCAACGGGGTGTGGCGGTCAGAAAGTCAAGTCAAAGAAGTGAGTCATCAGACCATGACACGGGTTCAATATCTATATCCCCTGTATCAAGGCCACTCAACCATTGACCAGAGATAAAAACTAAATCCAGAGTGTGTCCCCCTATGTGAGTAGGGCCGTGAATTATTTGGGTCAGGTCCATGGCCGTCATGGAAGCCATGAACTCCTGAGCTACCTCAGATGTTTCACCGATAGATGGCAGGTTGAAATCCTCCATGACCACAAGTCTGGGGGTATCAGCCGCCACCTCGGCTATGACATTGAGGAGTTCGGGCAGGGTCATTGCCACGTGGCAGGAAGCCAGGTACGTGATCAACAAACCCATCTGCACCCCACGACCCCACTTCACAAAAAGGGACTCACATCCGGCTATCTGAGGTACAGTGGTCTCCCTCGGATCAAGACCTTCTCTTAGAATGACCGCTACCCCCCGCCCGTACCCTGAGCTCTCGGCTGATGAAATGCATGGAAGCCTGGTGGGCACATCTCCACGAGGGGAACCCCCCCCGGCCCAACCAGGTCTCCGTAATACCTGCCAGGTTCGCTCCCCCCTCCTGAAAAAGGTCACAAATGAGGGGGGCTTTATTTACTACAGACCTGGCATTACACAACATCAGCCGGAGACTCAGGCCCTGAGACTCTGAGCAACCTGGGGAACGGGAAGAGCTAAGGGGACCGGGGCACGCAATTGCTTGGAGATAGCGAGTGTGTGTCCCCACCACATGATACGGCCCCCTGCTCCCGCCATACCTGCCCCTCCCACTCAGCGTATTAATGGAGAAGCCCTCAATAGAGGGCATTCTAACAGTCCCCTTTCCCCCAGAGTCCATATCCCCCATGGCACCATTAACTGCCGGGCTAGTCCCCATCCCCCGTGGGTTTTCCCGCAAACCCACATAACCTCCCCATCCCTCAGAACCCCTTAAAAGTCTGTTTAAAAATGTCCTTAAAAAACCCCTCAATCCCCTTTTTGCGACATGCCACCTCTCGGGGTCCCAAAACCCGTCATTAAGGTGGGCCCTTGATAACATAGAGGGCCAAGCCTGCAAGAGGGGGGAATCTCGCAACGCAAGAAGCTTTGCCCTAGAATACATTTAAAAACACTGGAGTGATAATACAAATTTGGCCTAGACATGGCCTAGGGGTCTATAATGATGGTCTTCAATGTCCAGGAAGCAAGGCTAAGTTAATCGGAAGAATCACCACTACCCTCTCACGGTAATGGGTAGGAGTCCTCACGTTCTGTCCAACTGGGGGAACTATCCAACCACCCTCTCACGGCGGTTGGCCATCCTAGTCAAGGCAAGATGGAAAAGTCCAAAACCACCATCTCACAGTGGTTGGCCCTATTGGCCCTGAAAGATGGACATCCCATCCGCGGTGAACGGGAGGTTACACGAGGCTGGCTCCAGCGGATTCTTTGAGTGAGGGTGTCCTGCCGGCCACCTTGAAAGAGGCGGTGGTGGGCAGCTTGCTTGGTCTGTGGCAGTGATGGCTAATCTTTTTTTCCTCGGGTGCCAAAAACGTGTGCGTGGCCACACCCATAATGCAATGCCCCGCCACGTACGACCCGTCCCTGCACATGCGTGCACACCCCATGCGCCTCCCCTAGCCCTCTGGAGGCGGGAAACAGCCTGTTTCTGGACTTCTGGTAGGCCCGTTTTTCGCCCTCCCAGAGCCTCCGTGTGAGCCCTGTACTTAACCTGGCATCCAAAATGGGCCATGTGAAGACTCCTGCAATGGGCGGGGTGGCATGTACATGTGCGTGTATCTCCTGCATGCGTGGCAGTGACCCGAAAATCAGCTGGCTGGTGGGAGGCACGCGGGCATGCGCAGTGGAACCGACCTAGGGCGACAGCTCATATGCCCGCAGAAATGGCTCCACGTGCCACCTGTGGCATGTGTGCCATAGGTTCGCCATCATGGGTCTATGGAATTCTTCACCAGGCCCATTTTGCTCATATATGAAAAAACTTACTTTGAATTTCTCATCGCAAAGCAGTTCTGCTCAAATATTTATATAACAAGACAACAATTTATCTTGTTATTTGCTGGTTTGATGAACATTGGCTGGACAAAAAATCCTTACACATACTGTATTAATAGAAATCAAGCATTTTTAATAAATGTGTTTTATTTTTTAGTTCCGCACTTCTCTTGGTAAAGGCAGGGCATTTATCCGCTATTCCTTAGTGCACCAAAGGCTTGCAGACACTTTACAACAGTGTTTTATGAATACCAAAGTAACAAGGTAAACATGGCTGTTTTTGTTCTTCTTGGTAGTGGTGATTACTTAATTGAATTTATATCACAGTGTAATTATTATATATCTTGTTGAAAAAAATTTATTTTCTTTTTCTTTTTTTAAAGTGACTGGTACTATGCAAGAAGTCCCTTCCTCAATCCAAAACTGAGTTCTGATATTATTGGTCACCTCTATGAATTAACAGAAATTCAATTTGATTTGGCATCAAGAGGCTATGATTTAGATGCTGGTTGGCCCACATTTGCCAGGTAATACAAACCTGTTGCAACTATATTGGAAAATTTCTAGAAAGTCTATAATTTTCATAAAGCAATTTTGTCTCAGGCTGTATTAAAGTTTCTTTATATAAATCAGTGGTCAAATAATACTAACTTTTCAGAGTTTTGCAATATTTCCAGATTAGATCAGACATTGAGAAGGACCATCAGAGATATACCTACCATCCAACATTTTTAAAACACATATTGCAACATTAAAGGCATATAGTTTCTCCTTAAATTATGGGCATAATGGAGCCTGCCCATCACAGTTGTGACAGTCATAAAATTCTATGATCTTTTTTGCAGTGGTCATTAAGCAAATCTGTGATCATTAAGCAAACAAATGGTTTGCTTCAAGTGTGGTTTTGCCAAAAGTCAGCTGTAAATGATGATTTTGGGCAAAACCATAACATGGTTACATTACCATGGAACACTACAAACAGCTGTAAATGCTGAGCACCCAGGGTGTAGTCACATGACTGCAGAAGGACCCAACCATTGGAATCCAAGTCATAAGTATCCCCGGATAGATCTGTTGGAACGTTGAATGGTCATTAAGCAACTAGTTGTAAGTCAACTATCTGCATATTCAATTCTTAAACCAAATGGATCCTAGTAAACATGACCAATTAAGGAGTCAACTAATAACTCTCAGGCAGAGCTCAAAGAAGAGTTGAATTCTGAAATTCTTATTCCAAGTTGTAATAAAAACAAAAAGAAGCAATTGATGCAAAGGATCCACATGGGAGGAGAAGATGGGAAGCAAGTGATAAAACATCGCTGTATTAATCTATAATTTGTGGGATAAGAAATGTAGAAGGTGACCCTTATTTATCATTTACTTCAAAATTATGAAGAAATTAAAATAGGAAGCCCTCTTAAAAATATGAACAAATATCAGTTTCAACTTGAAATGTTTTGCTTCAGATGCTCACAGGAATTCTAGATCACCTCTCTTGGTCTTATTTATTTGTTCCAAAACTGAAGATAAGCAAAAATATACCAGTTTAGATGCAGGTGGATAGTTGCTGAGATAAAATTCTTTTTTATATATAATTTTGTTTATAGTTTTTTCTTTAACATCCATAAGTGCTTAGTGAACAGTGAATTGTCTGGGTTGATGTATATTATACATTACACAATACTAATAACAATAATAATACTATTTGGGTATACATAATAATATTTCAACTTCTAACATTTATGTATACATAGTAATTATATTCTATTATGTCTCAATATATATAATACTATTTTCCCAATTTCTACCTTCTACCTCTATTTTCTAGTCCATGAAGCAATTACCATATTAAGAAATATTCTATATTTAACCATCATCTCTTGCCCTTTTTAGTATTTCGCTGAGATAAAATTCTTGAAAACATATTTTTCTTAAAACAATCCTTCTTCCATGTTTAGGAAAATGTTGTGCTTGCTTGGCTCCTCAGCTTACCTATGGAAGCCTCCAAGCCGCAGTTCAAGCATGAGCAGTTTGGTGAGCAGTTCGGTGCAGGTAATTGTATTGGCCAATAAATGTATAAACTATGAGGGAAGCAGTAATGCTATTATCTCTCTGAAAGCTTCTCTGATGAATAGCCTCGCTGTGGTGATTCATCACCTTTTCTCACTTCTGGGCTGTTTTTAAAAATATTTATCATAGAACCAATATCCTTTTATTTTAGATGGTTGCCCTATTATCAGAATTCATGTGTGTTCCTCATTTGTACTTTAGCTTTGTGTAATAATATTTTTAAAATCTGCTGGTCTGCTTTACCAGACTATTATAAGGATTATCCAGGCACTGAAAAACCTTTTATAAACAGCTTTCTTGCTAACTCAGATGTTTTCTCTCCTTTTAGGCTCCAGACAACCTTTCTAGCCCAAATGAGAATAGCTTTTTAAATACTGAATCTCTTGAAAGTCTAGATGATTTGCACATGGATCTTGACCAGGCAGAACTGCAGCAGAAGGAACTACAGAATCGAATCCAGCATCTGGAAAAAGAAAAGCAAGAGTTTCAGGCCACTATTGGCCTTCAGAAGCAGCAACTGCAAATGGAAAGAGAGAAGAACAGTGATATGTCAGAAGAGAATGACAGGCTAAGAAAAATGCTAGGGGAGTTAGAAAAACAGATTTCCCATTATACTCAGGGCACCATTCAGGAGTTCCAGAAATGTTTAGAGACACTAGAACTGAATGCAACTGAGAAGCAGAAAGAATGCTCTGCAAAACTTGACGACCTGGAGTCCTTGAAAAATGCTCCTGATCCCAAAATCCTTCTTTTGAATCAAGAGCTAAAGACCATGGAAATCTGGTTGGCCAGGAAAGATCTCTTGATTGATGATCTTACTGCTAAACTAAAGTCAGCAGAGAAAAAAACTGAGGAGCTTGCAACAAAAGCAAATAGTCTTATGGATGAAAAAAGTCACCAGGCCATCAGCCAATATGAGTCAATACTAAAGATTGAGGAGTTATTAAAAAAGCTTTGTTGGGCAGAAGAGGAAAAGGCTGATGCTCAGAAACTGCATAGTGAACTTCTTTCTCATTTTAAAATTATGGAAGAGGAACTCCATGTGAAAGAAGAGAAACAGAAAGAATTTGAATTGAAACTGAAATGCCTTACCATTAGCACTAAGGAAGAATCTGAAAAATTGCTTGTTAATCTGGAAGCCATGACTACTGAAAGGGCTGAATTTAAGAATGAGCTAGCAGTGAAAGACAAAACGATAGCTGATTTTCAAATCCAGCTGGCAGATATACTGGATTATGTAAAATCATTAGAGCAAAAGCTTCAGGAAGAAAAAAAAGAAAAGGCAGAATCTGAGAGGCTACTAAGTCATACAAAAACAACAATGGGACAAGAAATAAAAAACTTAATGGAGCATCTTGAATTGCTGGAAGTGCAATTGGCAAAACTCAGTGACATGGTGAAAAGTTTAGAAGAGCAAAAACAGGAAGTTGCTGTGGAAAGAGACCAACTCAAGACAAAAGTATTGGAAATGAAACACCAGATCACAAAACAATGCTCCTCATTGAAAAATTCCTCTGAAGAAAATAAAAACCTCAAATCACAGAATACAAAACAGCAGCAAACCTATCAGAAATTGGAAGAAAAATGCAGAGAGTTAGATGTGTCTAAATCATTTTTAGAAGGAGAAGTTGCTCAATTAAGAGCCTCTGAGAAACAGCTCCAGAGTCAGATAGATGCCATGGTATCTGTGGATGAAAAAGAGAAATCACTTCCAAAAAAGAACAAGCTGTTGGATGAAAACTTGCAAAATGCTATAAGACATAGTCAGCTTTTTGATGAAAAACTGAAAGCTCTGGAAGCTGATTACCAAGAATTGAAACAAAATGAAAATAGGATTGCAGAATTCTTAAGTGTAGTCCAAGCAGAGCTCCAGAATGCCAAAGAACATAATCTGCAAATGGAAAAGTATCTGTCTTCTTCAAGGCAGAATGAAGAATCTCTGAAGTTACAGCTCACAGAAAAAATGGAGCTATTAGAAGGCCTGGAGAGCCAATGCAGTCAACTTCAAGAACAGGCTGAGGGATATAGAATTAAAATTGAAACTCTTGAGAAAAATTGCCTTCATCAAGCAAAAATAATTGAATCTCTTACTTCTGAAAAGATTTCTGTAGAGAAAGCCCAATTGGAATTGGTATCTTATCAAAAGAAAGAAGCTAAAGATTTGACATTAAAACTGGCTGTTTCTGAGGAACAGCTGAATATCAGTTGGGTAGAGATATCTAGACTCCAGGAAGAAATTATAGAATTTCAAGCCAAGCTTCAGCAGACAGCTGCAGAGAAACAAAAGCTTCAGGGCAAATTGGATGTCACAGAATCTGTTCTAAGTGAGCAAAAATTATTGTCTCAGCAGCTGAAAGAGCAAAATGAAATATTGAACAGAAACCATATACAGCAATTACTTCAATGTAAAGAAGAAGAGGAAATGCAGAAAAATGAATGGAAAAAAGTAGCCCAACAGAAAGCTGAACTGGAAAAGAATGTGATGTGCCTGACAAATGAATTGTCCACAGTCAGGAATGATTTGGAAGTTGTTAATATGGAAAACATGGAAATCAAGGACCTTCTCCAAAGAACCAACATGGACATGGCTGAGCTGGGTATTCAGATTTGCTCTCTGACATCTGAAAAGACAGAAATGGAAGAGAAGATCGCCCAAGTCACAGTGCTCAGAACTACCAAAGAAATATCAATCAAAGAACAAGAGAAGGTGCAACTTGAGCTGACAAGATTCAGTAAAGAGAAAGAGAAATTGGAAGATTCAAATGTTTGTGCTGCCATTATACCTGACCTGCAAACTCAGCTGGAATTGACAGAGAAACAAACAAAAAGTTTGCAGGAAACCAGTAAAGAAGAGGTAGCTACTATCAAATTTCAGCTGAGCACAGAAATTCTAAACTATCAGACAAAATTTAAGGTAAATTTTGGTTCCTTTTCTGATCAGATAAAGTTGCAATTTTATGTTCATTTGAACACAGAGCTGTTCTTACAAGTGTACCAATTGCAACGGCTGATTCTTCTGCAGCCTTAGTACCCAAAGAAAAAGTACCAGTTTCTTCCAGTTAAATGAAGATTGGAAGTCACTTGATCAAAAGAAAAGATAATTATTTCAGGAGGAAAGATTTCCTCTTTATATCATCTAGTCCACTGAATGTTGTCAGGAGAATTAATTTAGCCTTTGGATAAAATTCAGTTCCCATCGTCTGTTCTACCCCAACTTGACAGCATAATAATACTCAACTGTAAGTATGGCAGTGTTCTAGGGGGAAATAGATCCTGCAATACCTTTCCCAGGAATACTTCAGGAAGTTTGCATACCAATCCTTGGTATACTTCAGTCTGAAGTATTATGTATATAGAAAGACTTGGAACTAGAGAGAGAACCTGATTTGGTTTATTATCTCTTGACCTGATAGGAGAGGATATACACAAGCTTTTGACCCATGCACACAGCCTTTTACCTATCCCCTTAATGGTGAAACTTGAGCAAGCCCAGAGGTGGGGGGAAAAATAACTATAGGAGACAGAGGAATTGGTGCTGACATGTGGATTCTGACCCTATGTGAGCTGATAGATGGTCCAAATGATAACACTGATATTTTGATCCTCAGGTTTCATTTGCTAATATGACTGTGATTTCCCTGACTAAATATGGCACTATAGGTAGTCTTTGTTTTCCAACTGCTTTGTTAGTGACCAGGCAGAGTTAATAGAGAACATGGAAGCAAAATCACAAGCATGATCACATGATGTTTTGTTTAAGCATTAACTCATAAATGACAACATAAACCCACCATGGTCATAGGATTTTTCAACTTAGTGATTGTGGTACTTAGTGAAGGTCAATGGTGGTTACTAACCAATCCCAATTGTGGTAACTAAGCAAGGACTGCCTGTACTGTAAATCTCATTATAGAAGCTTTTGTTTGTTGCACTTGTAATGATGACAATTTACAAGCCCATCCCTAATTGGTTCCTGAAATCAACAGAAAACTGCATAATCTTTGAAAAAGATCATTTTCATTGGTTCCGGTTTTAAATTTTACCTTTGTAGGCTCTCAGTGAAGAATGTGAAAAATTAAAGGAAGAACTTGCAGAACAGAACCTACAAGCAAATGCTGCAGAAGAGGCACTCAAGGAAACGCAGGTTAAAACTTTATTTAATTAATTAAATCATTAATTTAATTAATTATATTAATATTTAATATTAATATTCAGTTGATATTTAACTAAACTCACAGAACCATTTCAACTGAACTAATTATTGATGTTTTAAGCATGTTGGACATCCAGCAGGTACACTCTCTACTAGCACAATGAAATCTTGATCAAACACCTCTCTCCCATTAAGCAAACTGAGGATACAAATGGATCTGATTTTTGTCTGGACATCTACCCCCAAATTATGGATAGTGCATCCAACATAGTCTGGATAAGGCAGTTCAGTTTACATTAATTTTGCATCATCTCTGTCATTTATGTCAATACTCAAATGTTATAAATTGTGTAAATAATATAATTTACCCTTTAACAAACATCTAGTCTGCTAAATTAGTTTCATTGTGTTCTCTTCCCCCTACATTTTTGATTAAGTAGTAAATGGAAATTATATTCCAGGGTTTAAAAGCAAACAAGCTAAATCTGATTTTGAAATTTTGGTGTGGCAGCTAGAACATGATTATTGTCAGGAAATGTACAATACTTTATACTATGTATTTTTATGATTTTCCTAAAGTCTCTCTGTAAATGCTTTGTAAATTGCATCAATCTTGTACATTACTTAAGAGAACACATCATAGTATAAACTAATTCTAAATTTTAACTGATTTCCTGTTTTCTGGCCATAATGAGACCAAAACTTTGGAAAGCTAGAGAGACAAGGATGCAAAATTCTCCAGCGCATAGTTCAATTGTGCCTATGCATGTAGCTCCTAGAATCTGTACACTTCCATGGGTATTTATTAAACTGAGAATGTTTAGATTGAGATTGTGGCCACCATTTTTAAACAATATAGAAAAGAAGTTTTTTATTTCTTTAACACAAAGAAAACACTAAAGGAAAGAAAAACAGAAAAAATATAAATTATAACAGCCAACTACTTAATAGCCAGCCATCAACTCCCCAGTCTACATCTAAAAAGCTACACACAACAGGCACCATATACTGTAAATACTATATACAGAACATCCCAAAGCACACAGAGAACTTTCCTGAGGATGGACTCCAGCAATCCAATAAGCCAGGTTAGCCCAAACATTAACCAGGGCCAGCAGTCCAATAAATCAGGTTAGCTAAACAGTAACCAGAACAAGAAGATCAGCAAAGCAGGCAAACTGGCAAGCCCCACAAGACAGAGTACAGCAATCTCCGGGCTTTGGCAAGTGCACACGAGACTCCACAGATTTAATGCTTGTCCTGACAAATGCTCCTCAATCTGCATTGATCTTGCCATCTCTCTTCCCTCCTTGCTCTCAGATCAGGAAAAGTAGTCCTTGCTCTTCTCCTGAGCTCTCCCTGTCTGCAGGCCTTACTACCCTGTTTCCCCCAAAATAAGACATCTCCTGATAATAAGCCCAATCAGGCTTTTTGAGCGCATGGCAATAAGGCCGAGCGCTTATTTCAGGGTTCAAAAAAAATATAAGACAGGGTCTTATTTTCGGGGAAACACGGTAATTCAAAAAAGCCTTGCCTGGACTAACTCTGCCCTTCCCCAGTTTCCTCCAAGGACAACGGAGCCGGCCTCTCCATCTCTGTCAGTTCTTCTTCCAGCTCACCTTCCTCTGCAGATTCAGACTCTGATTGGGGCATGACATTATCCCTCCCCCGCAGGGGCCCCTCCCCTGGGACCATGTGGACTGGATCATTGCAGGAACCGGGTGTGGAAGTCCCTGACCAGACAGGTGTGGATATCTGCGGCATCAACCCAGGTGAAGTCCTCTGGTCCATAACCTTTACACGCCACAAAGTACTGAAACCGGCCCTGCAACCAGCAGGAATCTCGAATGCTGTCCACTTCGTACTCCACCTCTTCCTGAGGGGCTACCAGTCCGGTGGCGATGGAGCTGGCCAATGCGGACTGTTGGCCAATACTGGTACTAGCAACGACCTCTGGAAGACCGATGAATCCACATGGTCCATGGCAGGGATAGGCGAAAAGCCACAGGATTGACCACCGCTTTGACCGGAAATGGGCCCAAGTAGTGGTGATCAAGTTTTTTCGATGGCCGCACAGTCGGCAGGTATCGTGTGGAAAGCCAAACCCAATCTCCCACATCTAACGCTGGGATGTCTCGACGATGCCTGTCTGCGAAGCATTTGTAGTCCTCCTTGGCTTTCTCTTATTAATATATTTTTTAATTTTTATAATATAAACATTCCATCTTCCCTTAAACAGTTTGTCGTCTGGGTACAAACATCTCTGTGCAATAACCAAGATCTACAACAGCATTCATTACATTGATATTAATTACCTGATCTTACAATTGTAGTATTGAACATAGTAAACCTGTTCATTTTTCCCTCTTAACATATCTTCTAATAAGAATATAATATTAAGCATAATAATCCTAATAGTCATAATAATAACAATCATATTGTTTACATCTCTATTTTAACATATTTTCTATTCTTCTCCAATCTCCTTTTATTTCCAACTTCCATTTTTATTCTCTAACCATCAATAAAATAATTCCCATATCATATAATATTCAGTTTGTTCTTTCTCCTTAATTGCAAGCATTAATCTGTTCATTTCTGCATATTCTAATATTTTCCTAATCACATTCTCATCAGTAGGGATCTCTTCACTTTTCCAATTTTGTACAAATAAAATTCTAGCTGCAATTAATACATGGATAATTAAATATGTGTTCTCTTTACTATAAGTTTCAGGTAAAATCCCCCCAAAAATATTTCTGGTTTTAAATCAGTGTGCTGCTTTATCATCTTTTCCACCATGTACTATATGTGTTTTTGTCCAGTATTTTTTTGCTTCTACACAAGTCCACCACATCTGATACTAGGACCCAGGTATCTGGTGGCATTTCCAACATTTGGCTGACTTATCTTTGAACATCTTTGCCAACCTTGCCGGTGCAAAGTGCCATCTATAAAACATCTTATAATTTGTAGTTCCTGTCCCACAATTTCTGCCATTTATCTAATTCTGTTGTATGACCAAAAATTTTTGCCCTTGCTATCATTGTCTCCTTCACTTGTTCATCTTCCAGTTTTATGCCCAATAAGTAGCTGTACAATTTCTTTATCAATTTTTCTTCTGTCCCTGTTAATATCTTATCTAATTCTGTTAATTCTTTATAAAAACCATATAATTTAGCATCTTTCTCATATCTAGAATGTATCTGCATTTGTGAATACATGCCATATTGATCCCTTGATCACTCAGTTTTTGTTTAGTTTTGAGTTCCCCTTTTTTATTCAAAATATTTTTGTATCTAATGACATTTCCCATGTTAATAACATTTGGCTTAAATGAAAACCAAATTGGTATGCTCAAATCATGTTGCTCTCTAATTTTTTCTCATACTAACATTAATGCATTTCTTATGTAATGTCTTTGAAAGTAACCATGTATTTAATTTTTCCCATACCACAAGAAAGCATGCCAACCAAGTCATGTTCCTCCAAAGTAAATAATCTTGTATGCCTCAATACAATCCATTCTTTCATCTATGTTAATATTGCGGCTGGTAATACAATTCCCAATTTGGTAATCCAAAACCTTCTCTACTTCTTGAATCCTGCAACATTTTAAAGATAATTCTTGCTTATTTCCCTTGCCATATATATTTTAATATTGTTTTGTTAAATTCCTCAAAAGTATTTTTTTCCAATTTTATTGGAATTGTTTGAAATAATTACAATAATCTTGGCAATATATTCATTTTAATTCTAACTATTCTTCCTATCAATGATAATTGCAGAGTTTTCCATTTTTCCAGATCTATTTTAATTTGTTGCAACAGTTTGTAATAATTATCTTCCTTAATCGTTACACATCTTGCTGTCAGCTGAATCCCTAAATATTTTACTTTCTTAGTAATCTGAATATCTATTCTCTTCATTAACACTTTTATCTGTTTATCTGTAAAGTTTTTCACTAAAATCTTAGTTTTCTCTTTGCCATTTCACCATATTTTTCTATTTTTTTATTAGTTTAGGCCCTGTTTCTTGTGGATCTTCCAAAATAAAACTAAATCATCTGCAAACGCCTGTAGTTTATACTTTTCCTTTTTTATTTGCATGCCTTTTATCTCTTATATCTTGTCTAATATTTCTATTTAATACTTCCAACGTCAATACAAATAATAGGGGAGAGAAGGGGCATCCTTGTCTTGTACCTTTATTAATACTAGCCTTCTCAGTCATATCTCCATTTACCATCACCTTTGCAGTTTGTTTATAATATATCGCCTTAATCATATTAATAAATCTCTCCCCAAAGTCCATATCTTTTAGTTGTGCTAGCATGAATTGTCAGTTCACATCAAATGTTTTCTGTGTTGTCTAGAACTGTAATGGCGAACCTATGGCACGTGTGCCAAGGTGGCACGCAGAGCTCTCTCTCCAGGCACCCAGCCATCGCCCCAGCCCAGCTCCACCATGAATGCTTGTGTGCCTACCGCCGGCCAGCTGGTCTTTGGGTCTCTGCTGCGCATGCGCGGGGGCGAAGCCTTCCCCGATCTTCGCAGTTTCTCACCCCAGCACGCCCTACCTTTCTCCTCCATTTCTGACACCCGTGCCTTCCCCAATCTCCGCAGGTTCCACCCTTCGCAGGTGCCTCTCTATGGCAGAAATGCAGGAGAAAGCTAGGGCATGCTGGGGGGAGAAACTGCAGAGATTGGGGAAGGCATGGGCGGCAAAAATGCAGGAGAAAGCTAGTGCGCACTGGGGGAAGAAACTGAGGAGATCGGGTAAGGCACAGGAGGCAGAAACGCAGGAGAAAGCTAGCACGCACTGGGAAGGAGAAACTGAGGAGATCGGATAAGGCACAGGAGGCAAAAATGCAGGAGAAAGCTAGCGCGCACTGGGAGTAAGAAACTGAAGAAATTGGGGAAGGTACGGGAGGCAGAAATGCAGAAGAACCAACCTGGAAGCCAAAACAGAGGTGGGATGCATGCACCGGG